AAAACGACAATTCTTCGGGGGGCCAATCAGAAAATCATGAAGAAGTACATGACCCTACTTGGAACTTTAAAGAAGAAAGTCAAAGAACTTCAGATGTTACTTCAAGATCTGAAAAAAATATCAATGAAGACCAGATCAACATTTCTGAAGACTTCAAAAATAAAAGGAAGCGAAAATGTGATCCTGCAAAATGGGTCAGAAATGTACGAAGGGAAAAGTTTAACAGTGGTATTGAGCACATTAACTTGAGACACAAGACAAGAGAAGAGCGCAAAATATTGGGATCTTGCGAACAAAACTGTAAATTTCAATATGAAATTAAAATCAGTGAGGAAAATAGAAAAAATATCTTTAAACGATATTGGGAAATAGGTGACCTACATAAGCAGAGAAGTTACATATTAAAACAAATGTCTTCTATACCACACACTAGGACGATACAAATTAATCAGTTAAGAAAAAATAACAATGCATTCTATTTTGACGTTAATAACGAGAAAATTAGAGTTTGCAAGAAATATTTTATAAAAACCTTAGGAATATCAGATCGTATGGTACGTACAGTAGTAGACAAGAAAAAAGATGGAATTTTAGAAAACGATAAAAGGGGAAAGCATGGGCGTCAGATAAAAGTCTCCGATGACATAAAGGAAGGAATTAGAAAGCATAATAATTCAATACCTCGTATTGAATCTCATTACCTTTGTGCCCAAACAAGCAGGGAGTTTATAGATGGAGGAAAAACATTAGCTGACATCTATAGAGATTATAAAACAAGTTGTATGGAAGAAAACAAAACTTTTGGGAATGTCACCATGGTTTCACGAATTTTTAGGAATGAATTTAATATCTCGTTTTTTCATCCTAAAAAAAACAGTGCAGTATGTGTGAAGAGTATAAAAATGCGGGGAGTAAGGTTCATTTACAGGAAAATTATGATCGTCATTTAAAGGAAAAATATCTGTCATGTACTGAAAAAGATGAAGATAAGCAAAGAAGCAAAGCAGGTGAGTGTATTATTGTCTGTTTTGATTTACAGGCAGTTCTCCAGACACCTTATTGGGACATCAACTCCTTTTACTATAAATCAAAGTTAAGTACGTATAACTTTACTATATTTGATTTAGGATCATTGAATGGTTTTTGTTACGTTTGGCACGAAGGAGACGGTAACCGTGGATCTAACGAGATAGGATCATGTTTATACTCATTTCTTAAAAATGAATGCTCTATAGGCCTTCCTGTTGTGTTATACTGCGACAATTGCTATGGTCAAAACAAAAACAAATTTATAACATCGTTACTTCGTTATACAGTAAGCAAACTCGATATTCCTTCTATCACTTTGTAGTCTTTGGTTGTCGGCCATACGCAAAATGAAGGGGATAGCATGCACTCCTTGATTGAAAAATAGAAGAAACGTGTGCTAAGATCTTGTCCCATTTACACTCCTTTACAGTGGATTCCTGTAATTTCTAATGCAAAAAAACTGGTACTCCATTCAAAATTACAGAAATGAACTTTACAGATTTTTTTGATATAAAACATTTGCAGGAGAAAATGGGAAAGAATTTTATTTTAAATTCCGATGGAGAAAAAGTTTTGTGGTCCGATATTGTAACATTAAAAGTATTTAAAGATGAACTGTTTACCGTTTATTACAAAACTTCTTACAGTCATAGCAGCTTCAAAAAAATTTCAATTCGGAAAACATACAGCAGAAATTCTATGTGCTTAACTCATGATAATATTGAATTAAAACAGTTATATAACGCACCACTGAAACTTACCCAAAATAAATTAGATGCGTTGAGCTTTTTATACAACAAAAATCATATACTGTTAAAATACCATGACTTTTATCGATCTTTAGGATGCAAAATAAACCTTCCTCTCAGTTTGTACAAGAACAACATGAAACAGTCTTCAAAGAAAGCCGTCAGAAACCTGTAGTTACTTTAAAATTAATGTTAAAAATCTAAATAGGTAGATATTTCTAACGATTATTTTGTAACAGGTAATAAGCAGATTTATTTTAAGTTGTTCTCATGTAATTACATTAGTGTGGTACTTTTTAAATAAAAAGTATATTAAAATGTCTTAACAATTATTGTAACCTATCACAATTTTCACGTTGAACCGAAATTTCTGTGCAATTTCTAACTACTATGATCAGCAACAGTGACACAATGTTATAATCCATCTTTGGGCTTTCAGCAACACAGACACATTTGTTAATAATTAATATCATAGCTTCAAATTTCAACAATACAGAATACTAATTGCTAATAATCGAATGTTAGATAGTAAGGGTAATCTTCATACCCCATTTTCTCAAAATGATTATTTTCGACTTATGACAGTATTGTTGCCGAGGTGCGAAATACAGGTACAGAGATCAACAGTTCGCTCAGGTTTTTAGGTAGGAAGGAGATTTGGTCTATTGTCATGATGGTGGTTTAATGAATGAGTTTATTATTATTTAGATTGAAGTCTTTTTATAGAATTTTCAAAATTAAGTTTAAGAGCTGTGCTCTTTTAGTCCATATAAAAGAGACATATGAAAATCTTTACATAATTCTACAGAAAATTAGCTATTCAGCTCACAATTAGATGATCTGTGGAGATTTAAAAGTTATTTGATTGCTGCTTGGTCAAAAAAAGGGATTTACAAAGTTTCCATGTTTTATTTGTGAATGTGACAGTGAAGCAAGAGATAAACACTGGTCCACAAAACACTGGCTCATAAGAAATGTTTTAACACCTGGCGAGAAAACATTTTGTACAAAACTTTGATAGATCCAAAAAAGATCCTCCTTTCACATCTACTCATCAAGTTACGCTTAATAATAACAGTTTTTTAAGATCCTGGCTAAAGATGGAGAAGTAGTACTTGAGTGGAAAGTTTCCCCATTTATTAGAAGCCAAATTGAAAAAAGGTGTTTTTGTTGGACCAGGTATTCGTAAAATTAAGTTTGACTCCACCTTTGAAACTAAGATGACTACAAAGCAAAAGAACCTTGGACTGCAGTCACAAAGATTGTAACCAAGTTTTAAGATAATGTGAAGGACCCTAACTACGAGCTTATAATCACTAATTTATTAGTGTTAATAGTTATTAACACTATATAACAGCAATAATTATAAACAACCGACTAACAAACAGTGTAGAACCAATGTTAAGGAAGGAACAAGCCGGTTTCAGACCAAACAGATCATGCGTGGACCAAATTAACACACTAAGAATAATTGTAAAACAGTCACAGGAATTGAACTCTCCTCTCTTTGTGTGCTTTGTGGACTTCAAGAGAGCTTTTGACACGCTCACACATACGGCCATATGGAAAGCACTGCAGGAAATAGGAATACCAGCAAAAATAGTAAATCTCATCAAAGAACTCTACAGTGACACAGAAAGCAAAATCCTACACAACGGCATAACATCTGACCCAATAACGGAGTAAAGCAGGGCTGTGTTTTATCCCCCATACTATTTAACATTGTACTGGACTCCGTACTAACAAAGGTAAACTCTAATAGAGGAATTTACTGGGGATTAACAGACTGGAAGACCTGGATTACGCTGATGATATATGCCTTCTAGCAAATACAAAACAGGACATGCAACTCCAAGTAAACAAAGTACAAGAAGAATCAAAGAAGGTTGGTCTAGAAATAAACATCAACAAAACCAAATAAATGCGATTTGGTACCAGAAACAACCAACCTATTATGATCAACGACCAGAAAATTGAGAGAGTAGCGGAATCTGTATATCTGGGCAGCATAATTGACTGTAATGGGGGTACAGAGCGTGATGTACATGAAAGAATAAATAAGGCTCGTAACGCCTACAACATGCTTAACAACATATGGAAATCCAGGATTTACCCAACTAAAACAAAATTAAAAATATTCAACACAAATGTAAAAGCTGTATTACTGTATGGCTGCGAAACGTGGAAGATATCAGCACCCATAGTACACCAATTACAAATTTTCATCAATAGAGCGTTACGAAAAATCCTTCGTATATTTTGGCCTAACCGAATCTCCAATGAAAATGTATGGAACCAAAGCAACCAAGAAAATGTCATAAAGGAAATAAGGCGAAGAAAATGGAGATGGCTGGGCCACACACTGCGTAGACCGCCAAATGACATTGCCAGGACAGCGCTGGATTGGAATCCCCACGGCCGACGGAAAGTAGGCAGACCTAAGGGAACTTGGAGAAGGACAGTACTAAACGAAGGGAGAAAAATGGGAAAATCCTGGCTTGAAATCAAAGCACTAGCCAGAAATAGAGTTCGCTGGAGACACTTTGTGGAAGCCCTATGTTCCTCTTAGGAATCTTGGGACTATATATATAATAGTTATTAGTTAATAAGGTTAAAGATTTGGGATGCCTAATGAGCCAAATTCACTTTTTGCATAACCATCTTGACATTTTTTCCTGAAAATCTGGGTGATGTCACAGAACAACGAGGCGAACGATTTCACCAGAATAACAATATGATGGAGAAATTACTTTAGAACAGCAACATGATGGGTGATTACTGTTGGTTACTTCATCGGAAATAACACAGTGCCTGGCATAGGAGAAAAAACTACTTGATAAATTTTACAGAAAAAAGAGATAGAAAATACAAAAGCATTGACTACTAAAATGATTGTACAGACCTATACTATTACAAGACAGGAATTAAATAAAAGGTATCATTCTAATAATGTATCATTTGAATGTATTTTGGTAATTTGTCTTTTTTAAATTATTATAAATGTAGAATATAAATCAGTGTCATATTGTGGAAAAACTGTAGGTGATACGTAAAATCTAATTTGAGAATATTTTTAAGCGCCAAAAATACATAGAATTCACGTTAATTTGTAAGAAAATTTTTACAAATCTATTTTTCTTATTAGCCCATGTAATCAATACAGATCTTTCCGTACAATTTAACAAAAGTTAAATAAGATATTGCTTTGTAATTGTATATTACCTTTAAGCATCCACTATTATACACTGCAGATTCCAGCGCTATTCTTGATATGAACACCCCGTCGTTCCTGTCAATTCCATTACCTTCTCTGATATAGAGGCCCAGTGTTTGGCCGGGCCTCTTAACGATTTCCACGAACTGGACCGTGTGTTTGGCATCTTGCATAGCTGTGAATCTCTTCACGGCTTCATTGGCGGTTCTACTAAGGTGTCGAGCCTCCAATATGCGGACTATCATCTCACCGCGTCTTTCCACGTGCTGAAAAAAATTTAAAAGGAAAAATTAGGTATTAGCTTTAGTCGTCATTATGAACGTAAAATTATGTTTTATATTTAATGTTTCGGTTTAGTGCTTGAACCATTATCAAAATTATCGAGACCATAATAGCAATCACAACAAATGTACCTGCAGGTGATTTTATATAGTCTTTTGTGGTTTTTATGAAAAAATATTAAAAATTTTTGAAAGAAATGTCGGCGTTTTAACTTAAATAAAAATAGTAATAAAACAAATAAGCCGAAGAACATTGAGAAGCGATTGGGGTGGATTAAAAACTTAAAGGAATTTACGATGGTTTAGATGTATAACCCGACAAGCGAGAGCTGGCGGGTTGCGCGTAGAACAAATTGAAAAGTGGAAGGGATTGCTCATTTCTATTGCAGTCGGCTAGGAGTATCACATCGTGTATAACCGTTTAAGTACCTATACTATATATCTATAATCGCGATTATTTATTTATTTTATTTATTTATTTATTCCACAACAAACACATTTTACAGAATAAAATGTAATTACAAGTAGGGATTTTGACATTAGATATACCTACATGCTAAGATAAAATTATTAAATCGGATAAAAAGCTAGATTTAATTGCTTTGATGTTGGTGTTGAAGATATCTATGTCGCTATTTTTTTAGTATCATATTGCACTACCTCATCATGTTGTTAATGGGCGAGCAGTCTGTCTCACAAATAGAAAAAAACAGCCCTCTATGACTTAACCTTAAGTTAATCTTAGGTACCAAGAATTTTATATAGTTAATCAAGAATAAGCCTTTATCTTTTAAGTTATTCACAATATAATATACAAATAGCATTGCTTGCATTTTTCGTCTCTGTTCCAATGTTACAAGTTTAAAAGTTTCAAGCATACTCCGGTAAGACACCAAGTATGGATACGAATTATATTTTCTAACATATAGATATCTTAAAAACCTTTTTTGTACCTTTTCAATTAAATCTATATTTACTTCTGCACGGGGTGCCCAAACTACAGAAGCATACTCAAGATGTGGTCTTACCAAGGAATTATATAGTTTAATTATGCTATGTATCATCTTAAAATGTTTTGTGTTTCCAATTATAAATCCTAACATCCTAAAAGCCTTATTAGTAACCATGTGATAGTGATCATTAAAGTGCAAGCTTTGCTGAAAATTTACACCAAGATCTTTACACACAGATTTTCTGGGCAATTCTCTATTATTGATACAATAAACCATTTTAATAAAGTTCCTGTTACGTGTGAAGGTCATAACTGGACACTTGTCAATATTTAGATCCATTCTATTTATCTGAAACCAATTAGATACTGCATTCAAATCTAGTTGTAATAGTTGGCAATCACATTGATTAGATTATGTACCTCTCCTATCTCTCTTAGAATAATTCCTTTTCTATTTTCGCGCAGCTCACCCGCCAGCTCTCGCTTGTCGGATTATAATCACTATAAATGAATTTATGATGGTTTGTTTTTTCATTCAAAGTCAACAATCACACATAATTCTCAAAATGCCACATCAATTTTCAATAGCAGAATATGCAGATATTATTTTTGTTTACGGGTTTTGTGGGGGAAACAGCAGGGCTGCCAGCAAAGAATACAAAAAACGATTTCCAAAACGTCGAGTTTCAAACCATCAAACGTTTGGATCAATGTTTAATTATTTCAAAGAAAATGGAATATTTCCTAAATCAAAATCTAAACGATCATTAGTTAGTTTACAAGTAGATCATATCCTTGATATAGACCAAGCAGATTTTAAAATAAGTATCAGGCAAGTAAGCAGACAATTAGGTGTTTCTCAGTCAAAAGTTGAGAGAGTATTAAGAAATAATAAAATCCCCATGTGATTCACAAATCTCTCAAAATAACTTCTGTCTTTAAAAATTCTGGAAATAGAATAGAGGGTTTGTTTAAAATGTATAACACAAGCTGTAATATTACTAATACTTATACATTAAATATTTGTTAAAAAATTTATTTTGTTTAAACCTAAGGTCCACTTAGCCAAATGTTTAATTCATGGTCAATTTTTTTTAATAAAAATACAGTTATTATGTGGGAAAAAAATTAATATACCATCTTAATTAACTATTTATCTAATTTGTAAGATTCTTATTAGAGATTTTAAAAATCGTATACTTATAGGGTGAAATTTTTTCTATGAACAAAACGAATTAATTTTTTAAAACCGGACCGGATTTGTTTCTAGGTTAAATAAATCATTTGATTAAGTGGTAGAAGTGTAAACCTTAAACAAAATCTGACATATCGGTCTTATGGGTCGAAAGTTATAACAAATAGAAATTTTGGACAAAATTCACAACTGTGTGTTATTAAACAATGGAAGTCCGCACTTTTTAGTGGTCAGTTTTTATTTCCCAAAGAGGAAGGTAGATAGTACATTTCCACATTACTCACCTACAATATATAATTTATTCGAAAACGTAGTGTGGTTTTCGCAACTCGCAAATTGGTTTTCGACAAGAACTTATAACACTACTATATACACAGGGTCCGTTAAAATAAAATATCAATGTAGATTTAGTGCAAAATGTATATTGCGCAGGGACATTTCTTGTCAGCAAACAAGCCTTTGATACTTCCTGGCGTCCTGATCTTTTATACAAAAAAAATCATTATCACTTCTTTTTTATTGAGTTTAATGCGTCAACAACTAATGGTCATTGTCATGGTACAGTGAATTTTTACAGTCAGGTGTGTCGTGTGTGTGTGTAGAGTAATTGTCTTGATACTTAGCAAAGTCGACGTCATTGTCTTTGCTAAGAGACGCTAATTGTATCCGAACGTCTGCGGTCCCTCCGGTGAGTACCGATCGCACAAGGATAGAAATTATTTTCATTTATTAATTTTTTTAATAAACGAAAATTTCCACCCAGGTGAGATTCGAACTCACGACCTTTAGGTTCAAAGGTAGGCGCTCTTACCACTGAGCCACAGAGGGGGTTTTACTTTTCAAGATTTTTTCTTAAAAGCTGCACAATAATATCATGTTTCCCCATGTTCAGCTGTAAAATTTAATATTTTCGTCTTCATGCCTTCCAACGGAATGAAATACATCACCACAACCAGGAACATATTTACGTTTCCTTGGTTAGATGTATCGGTAATTATACTGCCGTATGTTGCGTTGTTCATTGCACCAACCAATTAATTTTCGATGTACGAACCAAAGACATTTTTAACAATTGCCTCACATTTAGTACGAGCTGACTGAAATTTAATAAATTCAAAGCAAAAAATTGTTTAAAATCTTTTATAAAAGGTATATAAAAAATGCCTCAAACGGGCTATCACAAACACATTGCAAAACGTTTTCGGATTGATAAATCCATCATCAGTGCAAACGGTTGTACATGCTAGTAGCCACCAAAATATATGGGTAAAAACCCTTTAAATGTTTTAAATTTGTAGTGGTTTTATATTATTAATAGTTATAATTTGTGATGTTTAAGTTACCGTTGTCATACACACGTTGTCATACATACGTTGTCAACACATAGATAACGACACATGGATTCAATACCTAAAGAAGCTTTATAATGATGAACAGCAAATGATGTTAGAACCAGAAACACCAGAAATCATTACAAACGAAGAAGTCGAGATAACCGTACAAGAAGTAAAACAAACTTTAGAAAAACTGAAGAACAGAAAAGCTGCAGGTAAAGATAGAATTCCAAATGAATTATTGAAATATGGTGGAGAAGCATTAACAGAATAGCTAACAGCACTAATTAACAAAATCATCAAACATAACAAAATACCTGAAGAGTGGAAGAAAAGCGAGCTTATCCTATTATACAAAAAAGGAGATAAAAAACAACCTGAAAACTACAGAGGTATCAACTTATTAAACACCACTTTGAAGCTTACAACCAAAATATTGCAAGGCCAAATAAATCAGAGAATTACCTTAGCGGATAAACAGCAGGGTTTTCGCACAGAAAGGTCGTGCACAGATGCAGTATTCATCATAAAACAGATTACCGAGAAAGCACTAGAGTATAACAGACCAGCATTCATATGTCTAATAGACCTGAAGGAAGCGTTTGATAAAGTAAAGCTTAAAGATGTAATTCACCTTCTTTACGATAGAGAAATTCCACTAAATGTTATAAAAACAATAGAGAACATTTACCAGAACAACAATATGAAAGTCAGAATAGATGACTAGCTTACAGATCCAATAGATATGGGCAATAGAATAAGACAAGGAGACTCGCTTAGTCCAACGCTATTCAATCTAATCATGGATGAAATCATCAATACTATTAATAAAGGAAGAGGATACAAAATGGGAAACAAAGAAATCAGAATACTCTGCTATGCAGATGATGCGGCGCTAATTACATCCAATGAAGACGATCTACAAAGACTAACCCATAGATTCAACACAAGGGCAAAGGACTTTAATATGGTGATCTCTACACAGAAAACTACAACAATTGTAATCAGTAAAGAACCAATTAGATGTAAACTGGAAATCGACGGTATCAGCATTGAGCAAGTAATGGAGATAAATTACCTAGGAATTACACTGTCTAGCTACGGAGATGTGGAGAAGGAAGTCAAAAATCAAGTACAAAAGGCTAATAAAATAGCAGGTTGTCTTAATAACACGATATGGCGCAATCCCCACATTAATACCTACGTGAAATCAAGAATCTACAAAGCAACAATAAGACCAATAATGACATACACTTCAGAGACAAGACCGGATACCTCCAAAACTCAGCAACTACTAGAAACAGCGGAGATGCGTTTACTGAGGAGAATTACAGGAAACACACTGAGGGATCGAATGAGGAGTGAAGAGATCAGAAGAAAATGCAATATACCAGAAATAAATGAACTGAACACTGGACACTGAACAGAAAAAAGGAATGGAACGAACACATAAACAGAATGGAAGAGACCCGATTAGTCAGAATAGCGAGGGACAAATCACGAA